ACTCAGAGATGATAGAAGAGCCTGACTTGATCTTAGGAAGTGAGGGCAGCAGCCAGTGTTGGAGGGTAAGCTTGAGCCTTTCCAATGCAAATGAGCACAGGATAAACAGACTGTACTATGTACGTGTTTCTCTGGTTGCAAAAATCAAGTATGCACAAACATGAGAAACAGCCTGGCAGCAGAGCTGAACTGCATGGGAAGGAATGCAAGCATGTGTTGTGGAGATGACATCTGGGCTGGAAAGCAGTGATAAAACTTCTGCTAAGAACCATCAAAGACTGTTTTCATTTTTACTTACTTGCTGTACTAAACAGCAGAAAAAAAATCAAATAGTCATGTTTCTTTCTACTGATGGACATTAAAGATAAACTTTACCTTAAAGATAAACTGAGGCTTTTCTTGCAGGAGGGTGTGTGCATGTGTAATTTGACATAGGGAGGCAATCCACTTTTGTAACATGTTTGCTCAGTACAGTACAGAAGTGTTGGAAACGCTGGCCTGGATACCTTATTTTACTGTGCACTTTCTGTGATTGTTGTACTGTTTTATCTCGTATGAAGGTACTTGTCTCTGCCTGTCCAGAAGATTAGAGCCCTTCTTAGCCACTTCTTGTAAAGCACATCAGGCTCTCACATGGGAGGTGCCAAACTACTGCTTCTAACAGTCTGTATTACTGGGGGATTCAAGAGAAGGGTGACTGCTGTGCTTATCCTCCTGTGCAAAACAAGGTAGCACTGGAATATTACCCAGAAACAGTTCTTCTGCACCCATTGCAAAAAAAAATTGTTGTTGTTAATACAACTGGCTTTCTGTTTTCAATGTGTTTTGTGTAAGTGTCCTGCAACTGAACAGCATTTGTGGGAAACCTTATTACCACAGCAAATCTGGATTGTTCAGTGGGATTCTCATAACTCCCTTCAGTGGCAGTCTGCACTTGCTGCTCAGCAGTAGCTGTGCATTTCTGCCTTACCCCATCCTTTGTGAAGTGGTATTTAGTGCTGAGGCTTGCAATTGAAAGAATTCATGTTGGCATCCAATGTCATTCTTACTGCGGCACTCAAATGTGGTTTTAATGTCACAGGTGATGAGCTAAGTCAAATCTTATGTTCTTTTTTGTCAGAGCTTTGCTGGAGGTTGGTGGAGGGAGGTTGCTGAAATAGCTGCAGGTTGACAGGAGAGCAGAGCTGGAAGGGGCCTCTGAAGGTCTCTAGTGCAGACTCCTACTCCAAGCAGGGGATTAGTTCAGGACGTTCTGGGCCTTGCTTCAGTCAAGTTAGGAAAATGTCCAAGAATGGAGATCCCACAGCCTCTTGGGCTCTGTTCCAGTTCTTGATCATGCTCATTGAATATAATTAATACTTTTTTTCACAATTGGAGTGTTCCTTGTTGCAACTTGTGGCTGTTGCCTCTAGTCTTTTCATCATGTACTTCTGAGAAGAGTGGCTCCATCATCTCTGTTAAAAGATAGTTTAGCGTGTCCAAAAAGTCTTTCTCTTACGTGTGTGTGTGTGAAATCTATTAAAAGAATTCAAACCACTTTGGGAAATGATGAATGATATCTGTGCCTAAAGGCAATGTACTTAAAATCATGAACTCCCTGACTTGAGAGCACAATGTGTATCACTGCAAATGAGGGAAAGTGAAAAATCACTCTGCCCAGGGAGCTTTTTTTCATTTTACCTGTAATCAAGAGACTAAACCAGAAGAGTTGAGCATTGATTCATTTAAGAGAAGACTCCTGCAAGAGCAAGAAGCCTTTAAAGCAGCATGTATTAGCACTGATAATAGGGCAATGCTTCCAAAGCTGCTAAACAGCAATGGAAAAAATTACTACAGAGCCCCTATCACATCACACATTAATACCAGAGTTTTACTTGAAAGAGTCTGATCATTTCTATGCATCTTCTTAATACAGCTGTTTGCAGATTCCCATTCACTGAATAGTGCAAAGTACAAGATTCCCAAATTTAGGTGATTTAAAAATGTATTTGCTGTTTTTATAGACAACACCTTTTAAGGAATATTTTGCATAAATTAACTAAATAAAATGTAAGAGAAGATAGGATTTTAATCTAACCCAAAGTGCTGGTGGTTCTGTTGAGCAGAATTGGTTCAGGCAGGTTAAACAGCAGTTTGCTCATGCAGGTACCCTCCATTGTAAAAGAGTGAGGCAAAAGCCCCTGGCAGGTGGCAGCTTCCAAAGGGGCTTCAGCTGCTGAGAAAAGAACTGGGAACAATTGTGAACCTGAGGAAAGCCCTGGAGAAACAGTTGATGGTGAATAAGAAGCAAAGAGGAGTCCAGCTAGTCTGCAGAATAGGATGTAACCAAGTGTTTGGTTAGTAATACGTTATTAGAATTCTGAATCTTAATGCAAAGCGTGTTCTCAGAAGTTCTCCATGTGAAGACTTAACTGTTCCCTCCCTTGCTCATAGGGAGAGGAAAGGAGCTGCCTGCTGCTGGGAGAGGTACCAGGCTCTGTCCTTGCAGGAGGAAGAGGTTCTTGCTGAGGGAGTGGAAGGATCTTGAGTCTCCAAAGTGAGCTTTTAAATTTCAGCATTGTCTGGAGTGAAGGAGGACTAATAGTTCCCTCTGAGAGATGAAGTCCAGAATTTCTGCCTTCAGAGGGAGGCAGATTCTGTAGTAGCTTCTCTGTCATTGCTTGGCTGCATCATAGGAGAGGACAGCTGCTCTTTGCTTCCTGCCCACAGATCACACAGTTTCTCTGGATCTCTCCTGGATAACCGATTCTTGCTGTCTTTTCCTGGTATTAATTACTTGGAAATGGCCTTTCCTTCCTTTCCCCCAGTGTATCCCTGTGTGCATGTATCTGTGTGCACACAAAACAAAAATCTGCTTCATTTAATCTTGGCTTTATTTGGGTAAAACATAAAATGTTCTCTTCTCCTCATCAGCCATACATGTTTATCCATCCTGTTTGAAACACTTCTGTTTATGGCTGAAAACAGTAAAACAAAAACACTGACTTGACTGAAGATTAAGTGGATTTTTCTGTGCTGACAAGTCTTGATTTTGCAAGATTGGTTTTAATTAGGTTACGTTTTTCGGTCTCTCTTACTTTGTGATACTTCATGTAATAAGATGAAATTGTATTGTTATTCTTAAAGTAATACTGAGTACAATTTGATTCTCTCTCCTTATATGGCAAATGACTGTTGCATTATTGTCTGCTTAGATACCATCAGTGCAAGAAATGAATCTCAGAAAGAAACCAGCCACAAGACAAGAGGGTGCTGTGCAAACACTGGTACATTTCACAATGAAAATATTTTGATGTGGCATTATACAAACCCACAAAATATCTTCTTTTCCTTCTTCCTTCCTTTCATTCAAGCAAGGCTCGATTGAGAGCCATGAATGACACTTCTAGAAGCAGAACTGCATTCAGAGGACCTTGAGTCATGCAGTAGATTGGGCTCCTTGGAGGAAATTGCCACTTTCTGTTCTTTGTTGTGACCAAGAAGGCAAAGTTTAACAGAGAGGAAATGGGAAGGAATACAAACTTGAGTAGCTGCTTTTCCTATTTTAGGATTTGACTTGGCTTTCCCATTCAGTCATTGCAATTAGATATGGCTATAAGGTTATCCCATCATTTCTCTCAAAAACACTTTAATACTGTTTGCCTTTGATCTTGTTTTAATACTGTACTGCAGTGGAGATGTAAAGGATTAGTCTGGAATTTTTGTCTCACTTGAATGTGTTCTTACACTGTCAATTATGGTTTTGTTGAAGTTTTGCAGAGTAGTTATATTATGACCTAGTGGGACTTGCAGGGGAGCTGCTTTAAAAATGCTGTCAAAATAGGCCTTTTATTTGGTTAAATTATCCATGTGGTTTACAATTCTAGTAAATAGCAGAAGAAAGGGGATTAGACATTAAAAAAAAATCACGGAAGTCCTGAAAAAAAAAATCATAACTGCCCTTTCTTCTGGGTATTTCTGTTATGTGAATAGATCATTTGACATGAGATGTGTCCAAAGCAAAGGAAGAGGAGAAACATGCATTAATGTGTGATAACATGCAGATAATGTACAGAACTGTGCACCTTAAATGCAAAGAGAAGATCTGCAAGACTGCACATTCCTTATAGCATATATTAATTGTCAAGCATTTCTACACAGGAAGAATAGATATACCAAGCAATTGCACTTTTATCTATTAGTAACAGTATTTGTTTTGTGCTTGCAGTTTCTGGTTCCTTTGTACTTAAGAATATTTTGTGTGTGTGTGAAATGTGAAATTGTAGGAAGTGGGTTGGATAAGCTATGAAGATAATTGGTAGCCTATAGAGAGTATGAAGTGACTGAACATAAAATAACTAACTGGGCTATTACAGGACTAGTGGGTTTATTCAGCCCTACCAGCCGAGGCAATATATTGAAGAAAATGATAGTCCTTAGGCATTACATTATTTAGTGGATAAAACTTGTAACTATATGAACAAATGACATGAGACCTAAGCTACAACACAGTTGTTACTAAATCTAGGAGGTAGTTCTTCATGCACTTAATTTTGTTCTCCAAGCATCCTTTTGAAATCTTGGGAAGGATGGTTGAAACAAGACTTTGCTATAGCCAGTGGAAATTCCAGCATCATGTGCATGTGAGGCTGTAATTTGAACAGCACTGCTCTAAAAGCTAACATGAAGGACTCTTCCATCCTTGCTGGAGAAGCACACAGAAAGAAACTTCTCTTTGTTCACTGCAGCCATCTCCCTGGAAGGTTGCAAAATGCACCTCTTGGCTGCATTTCAAGTTGTGATTCATTTTAACACCTGTGATGCCAGTTAAGAATCTCTGGAGATAGAACATGTGCTGTGGAACTCAAACTGCATCTGGTGTTCCTGACTGAACAGCACCTCACTCTGAAATGCACTGATGCTGACCTTGGCTGCTCACAGCCCCAGTGAAGCAGTGTAACTGCAGCTTGAGTCCCTGACAGCTGTTAAAGATTGTTCCTATTTGCCCTTCTGTTTGACAGATTGATCTCAGACCAAAGCCTCCACAGAGCAAGGATGTTGATTCTCCTGGCTTTCATTATTGTGTTTCACATAACCTCAGCAGCACTGCTGTTCATCTCAACTATTGACAATGTAAGTGCCATTTCTTCTCTTTTTCTCTCAAACATGCAGGTGTTTCTTTGCTTCATAAAAATTGAGTTTTTCTTCTTTAGTTGTCTTCAACTTGCTTATTGAAATCATGTCAGGTGGAGCTATGGGACTTGTTCAGCTGGATATGAGGAAAATGGGGGGAAATCTACTGTCCTTTTATGTCAAGTATATGGAGTCAAACAGCTCATGACTAAATGTGTGGGGATAATTTCAGTCAAGATGTGCTTTGCCTCAGAAATGGTTGTCCAAGATGCCCATTTAAATCATGAGAGACCCCACGAATGTATCTGTGCCCATTCAGCTGACGCAGTTTCAGCACAAAGTTTTAGAACAATTTCTATTGTATTCTTTTCAAATTTCCATTTTATTTTTGTGACCAGAAAGAATTTCCCTTCCAGTATTTACATCTAGCTTTTAACTGAATTTTCCTCTTTCCAAAACAGCCCACTGTCCTGATCGGTAGTCTGTGCTCTTTCTTTCTCCAAGAGGTCTGGTGTGTACAGGCTTTGGGGATTAAAAAATTTGCTGCTGAAAATACTTCACTGTTGAGTGAAGTTGGTTTGAATCCCACAGTCATTTCCAAGACTATGCCTCAAGTGAAAGGATGTGTTATCCACAACTATTTCTTGCAAAATTGTACAAACTCAGATGTTATCTTTCAGTCAGCTGGTTGATTTGTTCCATGGAGGTAGGTCATTAATTGAGCACTAGAGCAGGTTGTCTTACCCTGCTCCTTCGAATATTTAGAAAGCAAGGACAGTGAGCAAAGCAACTTATTCTTAGTTCAAGCCTGCTACATACAAACCAAATTATTACAGAAATAAACCCCTGCTTTGTCATTAGCTGCTTTTTAACAATTGCAAACTTAACCTGTGCAACCACCTTCCGTTAGATTTTATGATCTTCAGAGGCTTTTTATAGTCATGAAAATAACTCTGAAAAGATTATATAGTGCTCAGAGCTGAAAAATAATATATTGAACTTGGACTGCAAAATCCAGATGAATGGAATCCTGAGTAATGCTTTTTCTTAAAACACACCATTGTTATTACACATATTCCTGCTACCATAATATATTATAGTTTTTACTGCAGTATTGTTTGCAAAGCTGCACAGTAAGCTGTGAGGTTTCTGGAATGGCTATTTAAGCAGCAGATCTTACCAGGAGTCATATTTAAAAGTCATATTTTGTACAACTCTAGTCAAAACAAAGGCCTGGGTAGCTATTGGAACGGGAATGGGTTTCCTGAGGAAATGCCACTTGTGTGGAGTGCTTGTCGTTTTCCAGGCTACCATAAAAATCTGTTCAGGCACTGCAGTGCCATTTTGCCTTGAATGTTAAAACCTCAAAACAGAAATACCACAGGAGGATCTTAATTTGTCAGATGCCAGAGTGTTCATACTGCATTTGTCCATTTGTCCATTGACAGCACAGCTGCATTACATTGAGATTCATCAGTTCAGTGCCAGGAACCACAACATTTATAAAGGATTCTGTTTCATAGACCCTGCTGTTTCCTGCAAATTAGCAAATGCTGTGCCTTCAGGGAGGTGTGCATCCTAAACAGGGTCTGGATGTACAAAGCAGATCTTGTCTAGGTGTCTTACGGAGAGAGCAGTCACTGACTACCCAAAATTTCTGCCCAAACAGTGGAAATCCCTTGTGCTTTGGGATGTTTAAGATTTCCTTTCCTACCTTACAGAAGTATAAAATGAGAATGACATGTGGATGATATACCTCCTTATTCCAAAATGCCATTAAATCTCAAATTTAGTTTGGTTAAGTATCAAAAATGAACAGAAAATCGTTCCAGCTGTTGTACAATTGGTGGACAACTAAGGAGTTCTGTGGGATTTTTTGAATTTTTTTCCTGTAAGAGCGCTTTACTTTTATTTTTCAGGCCTGGTGGGTAGGAGATAACTTTTCTACAGATGTCTGGAGAATGTGCATCACAAATACTAGCACCTGCATGGCTATTACTGATCAGTTCAGAGGTGAGTGTCTCTCCATGCCTATGTCTCTGTTCCTTTAGCAGGTCTGGTGAAATTGCTATGAATTGCTATTATTGCAGGGGCAATAATGTAATTGTTCAAAAATCTGCATGCTCTAACTGCACAGGTCTTCTAAAAACTTTAATACTGGTTTATCAGTTTGGAAAAGCAGCTGTTCCAACAGTTTCTGCGATAGGAAAGCAGAAGGAACTGTCACATGCACTTAATAGCCCAGTGTAAGAGAGTAAACACAAACAACTAACAAGAAGTGCTAAAGAGTTGTTAAAAAATTACATCAGGTAAAACCAGCAAAGTCATCTGAAGGTGACTGAAGTGACAGAATTTGCCTCAGAATTGAACTGCAAAGAAGAACCTAAAAATACTGGCTGTACACAAGAATGGGGGGAAAAGTGGAAGAAAGAACACAGGCTGGAGTTTTAAAAAGGAGCCTTAATATACAACCTAGAGCAGCATCCTGCTTTACAAAAAATAAATGTGTTCCCAAATGTTACATTTGCTTTGTTTCTACACTTTCAACCTGGGTGTATATTGAAGAGGTAGATAATTTGAAGAGCTGTGTACCCATGAAGCAATTTTGCTTCGAGGCCTCGGGTTGGTTCAGGGCCTCTAACCTGCAGTGAGATGATCCATCACACACAGACATATCTCAGCTAACACAGGTTTAAGGGTTTGCATCGAATGTATTGCTGTGCATCCACTGCAGGTAAGTCCCCAGACTGGTGGATGACGGGGAGCTCAGGAATGTCTGCTGGTCCCGGAGCTCTGACTGCAGTGGCTGTGCTGGAGCAGGGGGGCCACAGGAGCTCAGCCTGGCTGGGGCGTGGCTGCCAAGGTACACAAAGCAGCTTCACCTATTAAAAATGTATTGGTTACTTTAGCTCCTGGTTACAGGGAAGTAATTGACAGGACAAAAATCCAAATCAGAGCAATCTTCTGTGCCGAGTGAGAGCCCTCAAACCCACTGGCTGCATCAATACCAAGGAAGCAGGGAAGAGCCGCCCTATGGCAATTCACAACTGGTTTGCTGTCTCTGCTGAACTGCTTACAGGACATAGCTCTGCCCCTCACTGCAGGAGGAGCCAAGGAGAGGAACTATTTTTAATCAAGGCTGCTTTTGTTTCTGCAGAGTATCAATCGATTCAGGCTGTTCAGGCTGCCATGATCCTATCTACTATTTTCTGTTGTGTGGCATTTCTGGTTTTCATTCTTCAACTCTTCCGTCTCAAGCAAGGAGAAAGATTTGTGTTAACCTCAATCATCCAGCTCCTGTCGTGTGAGTGATTTTTCAACACTTGTAACTTTAATGATGTTTTCGTGAAAGTAGGAAAGGGAAGGGGAAAAAGGTTTCAAAAAGAATGAGCTGCACGAGGAATTCATAGGGCTCCTGAGGCCGTAGCTTATCCTTCATATTTGTTTAAACAGTGAACTGCTCCATTCTGTTAATATTGAGGCAGTTAAAACGTGGATGTCATCACTGCTCAGGATAAAGTCATTTAAACTTGGAAGGGAAAGAATTTGAGATTCTGAACTTCTTGAACAAATTAAATAACTCTGTAATTGTTACTCCATTTTTTGTCAGTCTTTAGAACTATCCAGATGTTCAGAATTGTTTTCTGTTCACTGCAAAGGACACAGATCCACAACAGCACTTCAAATTTAATCTATGCCAAAGAAACTCAGAATATGTCCTGAAATGCTTCCAGGTTAGTCTGAGGATGGAAGACTAGTGTCTGCAAAGAAAGGACATTGATGGAAGCAGCTGACAGAAGAGAGACAGTGAATAGTTATATATATACTGATAGTATTTCAAGATGCTAAACTGTACTATTTTCTTCCTCCTCCAGGTCTGTGTGTTATGATTGCAGCTTCCATTTATACAGACAGGCATGAAGAACTGCACCAGAGCTATGAATATATGATGGAAGTTTCTAAAGGCCAATATGGCTATTCCTTTGTCTTAGCCTGGATTGCGTTTGCCTTTACCCTGATCAGTGGTGTGATGTACTTAGTATTAAGGAAGCGTAAATAAATGTCAGCAGCTAGTTATTTCTGTCACTGCAGTACAAAACCAAATTCCAGTAACCATTTTGTATATAATCCTTTACATGGTTTTGTAGTAAAGGTATTGTTTCTCTAAAAATGTACTGTGTTCTTGATATGAAACAAAACACACAAAAAAAAGAAGGCAGGTGAAATGGGATGCCTGGCACTTACAGGTCACAGGGCTCGGAGCAGGACAGAGCCAACTTGTTTCTTTTACATATTTCATCATCATATAAATGGTTTTCCCTTTACCAGACATTAACAGTTTCTTCCTGGCCTCTAGTTGATTACAAATAAAGCCCGTGCAAATTAGTTTATAAGCAATATGCTAACTGTGTTCCTGGACCAGATGTATCCCTTTGGAATATGTTAAATATAAGGGGTTGTAAAAAAGAGGCCCAGATCACAGTGAAAAAAGGAAAGAATTATAAAGCCCAAAGCTGCACTCGGAGTGTCTGTCCTGGCACAGGACCAGTGTTCTGCTCTTTGTAATGTGCAGTAAGTGTCATCAAGTTTTTATTAAAACCACTTGCTTTGCAAAAGTAAACAAGTCCTTTTTGTACTCCAGCAAATGTTTCTCTTGATTCTCTTTCACATTTAATTTAAGCACAGAGCCTTTGGCGGGAGAACTCACCAGCAAACTCACTGTTCAGCTGGGACCAGCACAGTCTGAGCAGTTAAGGAATACCCCACTCCAGTCCTAAATCCCTTTAATTTTGCCTTGTGTGAAGCCTTTCTGCAGGGGAGAAGAGGAAAACAAGCATCACAGTGCCTTCATCTGCAGCTTTCCAAGCAAATTAGTGATCAAGCAATTCTAAATTTAGGTTTTTACGGCCAAACTCCACGTTTTATTACACTGGGCTTTTATCACATAGTGATTTCATGGTTAATATGGCCTTTAAAAAGCATTCCCTCAGTCTGCCCATTAGGAAATTGGCCTTTAAAAATTCATTTTAAATTCTTTTGTGGATTTTACTGGAACTAAACACTGCTACTAAACAAATCAGACTGCAATTACTATGCTTATGAATTCCAGACTAGGTTTTCAAGATAAAATGACTTGGTGGTTTTTATTTTTCAGTAATTTTGTGAGCTAAATCTGTGCTGTAATACCAGGCTTAGCTGCTCAGCAGTGTAATACTGGCTTTGGCTGATGGTGATGTTGGATTGGGAGATCAATGTAGAGAATGAATGAAGTGGCCTTTTCTGGTTGGTCACAGCTCTGATGCTCAAGTACAGATCTGACTTTTAAAAAGCTCTAACCATTTATTTATTTCAGTATATTCACTAGAGCTGGCCCAGTACCCAGGCAATAAAATAGTAGACTAGGTTTTGAATGAGGTATTTAGAAGAAATTCAGTATCACAAAGTAGTGTAGCTCTACTGGAGTGAATACTCACTACATTATACATCAGTTAATGGATAATGATGCATGATGCAGTAAGATAGTGAATTACCTGATTCCTTCAGATTTATCCTTGATTTATCACAGAGTAAAAAGCTCAGGTTCATAACTGTATAGGAACAGTCTCCAACATATAGGTCATCTAGTTCCATCTTTCCTTCAGCATCCTAACATGATTTGGCATGTGCTACTTGTCTTTTTGGGGAACAAAGAAATCCCAACAAGACTGTTAAAAACTTAGGATGAGCAAGGACAACACACTAAAATATCAGTAAAAAAACCCAAATCAGTTTGAAGAAAATGCATTCTCCCCAGTCTATCATAATGCTGCAGTATTAGGGCATGTTTTTTTCCTCTTCGTGGGAGTGCTCCGAATTTCAGAGTTATTATCCTACTTTTTAAAAAAGTGTTTTTATAGTTTGCTGAATACATTTCAGGTTCACAACCTGAATTTTTGCTTGCAAGCAGAATTTGTCTTCAATAAATAGATGCAGGTTTAAGGATGAAAGAAGGTAAGACTTATTACCCAGGCATTTTGCTAGATTTACTGAAACATGAAAAAGGGAAATTCTTAAGCAAATATGGATTACAACTAACTTGTACCTAGAGGACGGTCCTGTGAAATTCTGAGTTAGCTGTTATACCACTGACTTGCAGAGATGTTTCAGTTTCTTGCCTCGATCATGTTCAGGTCATTTATAGAGCAAGTATTTAAAATACAGATGTAGATATACATGAACACACAGATTAATTCCACATTAAAGCTTTGTCCCTTTAATTAAAAATGTAAACCACACACAACAAACATTTGATGCACAACACCCATACCTGAGTACAAACAGCAGCATACACGTGATGCCACACGGAACAGACATTCAGGAATGTTCTGCATAGCAAAACCACAAATAGCAAACCAGCGAACTAGAGTTTTAGCAGGACAAACATATTTTAGGATATTCTTTCTACCTGATACGCCTTTTAAATATACCATTTTCTATACTCTATATATTCTGAAATGTACATGAAAATAAAACATTCTTGTACTGTAATAGCAAACATTTAGCAACCTGACCTTGTCTTTAAGCTTGGGATATATTTATACTATGCTGGATGAGAAATAGTTGAGTATTTGTGTGAACAGGTAAAATTAAATTCTTCCTGCCTCTACTAGAACCACGAACTATTTTTGTCCTTTGTTGAAGACCTCTCAGGGTAAGCAGAGAAAACAGCAGTGTACTGAACCTTTAAATGTCTGGTGCCAATAACTACTGAGTAATGCAGGATCCACAGATGCCCTGGGAAGTAGTTTCCTGGTAAGGGTTTTGGTATTTTTCATCATTTGTACAGAAACAGCCATGTATTTAAGGTGAGGTTGAGTGTCTTGACCATGTGAGTAAACAATTACTTCTGCATCTGCTCTGGTCCAAAATTCAGGTTTGCACTGAGGAACCAGCAGGACACACAGGTTTGTACAGATCCACTCAAAACACTCTCCCCAGTTCCCCAGAAATAATTTCCCAAACCCCATAAAACTTCTCCCTTCTAATCATGGTGAACAAAAGGAAAAAGTGCAAATTATTAAAATATTCCCTAGCAGCTGTGACTCTACCTTGACATTTTTTACCCAGCAAGCAAGCACTTGAAGTACAGGGAACAACCTTGGAAAAACAATCTAAAGTATTTATGTCAAGATACTTTAAAAAAAATATGTTTTTTATATTCCATCCAGGACAAGAGAAAATGAAGTTGTACATTACTTTGCTATGAGATACCTTTAAAAAAACAAAAGGTGACAGTATCTGTGCTGCTTATGCATCAACTGTTTTTTACCCCAGCTACATCAATAATTTATGTGGTTCATAATGTGTTCAAAATAACAGAGGGACTGCAGAGCTGTTAACCTGAGCATCATGGAAACTTGTGCCACTTAGCTAAACAGACAAAGTTAAAGAATCCTTCCTCTAATTTCTAAAATCAGGAATAAGACGAGCCAGTGCCTTTCCAAACACTAAAGAGAGCTAAGATCCCTAAAATCATAGTTCATCAATGCAACTACTGAAGCTGAAAATTTTTTATTTTTAAGTTCTACCATATGTGCAGTAATCATCTCTGAAGCAGTAAGATGAAAGAAAATGAAACGTGGAAGTTAATTAGTTTGAAAAACAAGACTTCATTTCCAAGGTCACAGAATCAAACTTGCAGAGTAATTTAATAACATTCGTAAGAGACATTAACAATTAAGAAACATAAGGAAATAAATCCTTTACAGTATAAATGTCACAATACAAGTAACACTTTTAACTTGAAATTCACTGCAAGTAACAATACAGTAGAGAACAGCAGAACAGTAGCAGACCACTTGGCAAGGTCCTCTGGGTCTCCTGAAGGGTTTTTAAAGTAGTTATAGAGTGTGTATGACAAACTGGTCTGTCACATTCACAAAGATCTTTTCATTGAATGAAGAAGTGAGACTTTTTGGGGTGATAATCTGTGGTAACAGTAAGGCACTGAAAGTGGCAAAGCCCTTATTTGGCCTGTTTTCTTCCAATGTGATGCAGAATTTTTACTGAGGTTTTAATGGAACAGATCCAGGTGGTAACTGTGTAGGGAAGCACACGTTGGATTAGTTTCTCTGAGGGCCCATGGCAGTGCAATCCCCTTTGGATTTTACACTAAAGCCTCTTTTAGTTTCAGAATTCTGAGGAGGGTCTTCGAATTTTTCAGTAAGCTTTGGATGAGAGGCAAGGTGTGGATCCTTGGAAGAAGATGGGGAAATTGCTTGGAAGTCTAGGCACCAAGACAAAAGCAGCTGTTAGTGCAAACAATAACAAATACTAACTTATGTTCATGTAAATACATAAACTGAATTGCTGCTGTGCATTTCCACACTAACAGCAGTGGCCCAGATTACCCCACATTCATGTATTAATATTCAGGATGTTGCTGATGTTTCCATCTGTCCAGTAAGATTTTCCCTGAAGTAGAAAACACTCTTTACACACCAGCAGTGACAACTTAGAATCACAACTTGTGTGCTATCAAAAGGAGTGCTGGAGAGGGTACTGTTACATCTGGAGGGATATTTGTTTACTTTGGATCATTACTGCACTGCCTGAGGTTCTAAAGGGAGGTGTGTGCATGTGCTCTTTTTTCATCCTCACAAAAAATTTAGCCAAAGAGTCACAAACCTGTGAATGTACTTAGTTACTTAGTTTTAAAGCAGGTGTACATTGCACAGATGAGTAAAAACTGCAGATGCCTTCATGGGATTCACTGCTATAATAAATGTCAACAGACATGAAACAATCCTGATGATATCCAGACTGTATCACGTGGTGAACATTTTGGTCTGCTTTACTGCTGCCTGAAGAAAGCTTTTGTTCCATTTCTCTTCAAAAAACCCCCCAAAGTGGAACTGCGTTTCTAAAAAACAGTTGCATTGCTGTCATAAATGCTTCAGAAAAATTCATTTAAACCAAGTAGGCCCATATTGTTACAAAGGCAATGGTAGGAATATAACGTGTGCACTGCTTCACAGACTCAATCTTCTTAGCCTGTTATCAGCAAGGAGTAAAAAAAGTACCATATTCTCTTGAGAGATTTTTTTAATATTACTTTATATATTTTTATATTCTTTTGGGCATGAAAATCTTATACTGAAAGTATCAGTTTTGAAGAATTAAAACTTTTGG